GACGCTTAGCTTCCCGCTTTCTCCTCGTCGTTCCGCCGTCAACCTTAACGTCGATATCCTTTGCAAATCCGACGGCGTTAACTTCTCCATCCGTACGGATTTCTAATACTGGTTTCAGTTTCTCTGTTCTCTTAAAAGAACCTCCGAGAGAAAGACATAGCTCGAGCTCAACATCATCGTCTTCTCCAAACTTTGTTGCCATTGATGAAGATTCAACAACCATGTAACGTCAAAAAATAAAACGTTCGTTATCGATATTTGTGTTCTGCAATTTTTTTTGCTTTTGGAGGGTTTTCTGTTTTTTTCTACTGAAGCTTCTTTGTCCATTTTCTGGAATAAAAAGAGAAGGGGAAGGCTTTTGAGACATGACACGTGTCTGATGAGGATAGTGGACATGGGCGGTTTTCAAATTACACGTATGATTAATTATTAATCTCTAAAATTAAGAAACTTTATTTACGCTACAATCTCGGATTACCGATCAAACGCTTTACCATTTTGCTTTGTTTGGTTTTCTATTTCCATTGGTTTGAAACCACTGGATATTTTTGAACGGAAAGATCCGAGGTTGACACGTGTAACAAGTGTAACATGCATCCGACACGTGTACCTGAAGAGCCTGCTGGATTTGACGAGGACACGTTATTTATGTCCCCTATCTGACTCCGCGAATCTCGAGCACGAACTCGACTCTTTATTTGACACGTGTCTAGCATCTGTTGAAGTTGGTCCCACAATCTTGAGGTTGGAAGCGAAAGACAGTATAATAATAGGTTAGACCGGTCCAGCTCAGCTATTGAGCCGTTTCATCTGACGTGACGGATGTTTAACCACGTGGTTCGTTTTATTTGAACGTGGCAGAAGACAAGTGGTTGTAAGGAACTACATGACACGTGTCTTGCTACAAATCGTGAAACAGCCTGCACAAGTTGGCTTTAGCTTGTACCAGTCTTCCTTTGCATGAACTGCATCTGGAAAGTGGGAAAAAGGAAACCTTCTTTGAATTTTCGTTGAATAATAGAAAGTTTAAAACTATGGTCTTCGAATTTGAAATCTTCGTTTACAAAATATATTCTTTATTTAAATTACTAATTAACACGAAATTCACAAGGAAAAATGTAACATCGAAGAAAAGTAATTTATTACTATTAAAAAATTGATGACTGGTTTTTTCTCCTTAAAAAAAAAAAAAACAATTTTACAGTATGTAATACGTTAATTGAAAATAAAAAATTCAAGAGATTATATTTAAATTTTCGCTAAATGACATGTTTAATAATATGTTTACTTATGTTACTAGAAGAACGAATAAAATCGGTAATTCGAGATACAAAGATGGATTAAAATGGGAAATTCAAAATTAGATCTCTTTAGAATACGTCATACTTCTGGCTCAGGTCCAAATAAAGTCTCTACATCTTATAATTCAATTTAATGGGCTAATGTTTTTAACTCAGGCCCACGTAAAGCCTCGTGGAGACGAGAGTGTCTTTGTGGGTTGTACATTGTTGAAGCTCTATGTGAGAAAACAGAAACAGGTCGAGATCAATAATGTGTGGTTGCATGATGGCTGGTTTTAGATTTCTAGGTCTGGAATTGAGAAGCTAGAATGATATAGGACTGTTTGGATTTGAAACAAATGGGTTTTGTGATACAAGTCTCTAGTTTTCAATGGCAAATAGAAGAATTTCCAGAATGCACACAAGGTGTTCGAGAAAATGCCAAAGAGAAAAACAGAATGATTAGAAGTCAGATTAGAGTTGACATATGGATGGGAATGAGAGAGTTGTGATAATTTCATAAGATTGTGGGCAAAGTCTTGTTTGTTAAGTGATGGGTACAGAAAAAAACCCAAGAATTTTGTGAGAAAGAGTGGTCAAAAATACCTCTGAGGGAGATCGACTAAGCTTTCCAAGTTTCAAGAGAATACCTAGTAAGCCATGCGATACTCTCCAAGTATAGACCAAGATACCTCATTGTGTTCTAAAGTTCATTGTGTTGCTATCTAAAGTGAATTGAGATATATGTCTACATCTTCAAGTGATCATTTCAAGCCTCAACCT